AGGGAACAAAGGACAGGAGGAGAGGGAACGGCCTCAGGCTGTGCCAGGGGAGGGTCAGGTTGGATATTGGGAAAATTTCTTCATGAAAATGGTTGGAAAACATTGGAAGAGGCTGCCCAGGGCAGGGGTGGAGTCCCCATCCCTGGAGGGACTTAACAGCCCTGTGGCTGTGGCACTTGGGGACATGGTCAGTGGTAGCCTTGGCAGTGCTGGGGGAGCAGTTGGACTTGGTGATCTTGGAGGGCTTTTCCAACCTCAACAATTCCATGATTCCACGACTCTGTGCCACAGAGCAGAACAAACTGCCCTCCCCACGTCTCTGTCTGGTTTCAGCTTCCCCCCATCCAAGGCAGAGGCGTTTGAGCTGTTTAAGCAGGAGGCTGGACGTGAGATCAGCAGGATCTTCAAGGAGAACAAGAGCATCCTCCTCGCCAGGAAGAGGAGCAGCAATTCCCTGGCCCGGAGGATCAACGACATCAAGCGGGAGATGGAGGGAGTCAGGGAGACTCTGGAGGGGAAGAAGCGGAAGCGGTGGCAGGAGGGTGAGTCCCTGTGGCCAACAAGGATGTGGCAGAGGAATGGAGCTCTTGGCTTCAAGGAATTTTGGGTGGTGAGACCACTAACCCACCACTGCTGGTTGCCAGGGCAGTGGGACAGGCCGGGCTGTCACCTGAGTCCTCCAGCTGAGTCCTCCACACTTCACCTCACTGAGCTGCTCAGGCTTTACACCTGAGGGCAGGGTGAGATGGGATATTGGGAAGGAATTCCTGGCTGGGAGGGAGGGGAGGCCCTGGCACAGGTTGCCCAGGGAAGCTGTGGCTGCCCCTGGATCCCTGGAAGTGACCAAGGCCAGGCTGGACAGGGCTTGGAGCAACCTGGGCTGGTGGAAGGTGTCCCTGCCCATGGCGGGGGGTGGGACTGGATGATCCTTAGGATCCCTTCCATTGCAAACCATTCCATGATTCTCAGTAGCACTGGTTTAACTGTCCCAAAGCTCTGACCAGGATTTAGCCTTTAAATCCTTTCCCACGGCTTCCCTGGGATTTTTTCCATGGGATTCAAGTGAAGCTCTCCTCCAGGCTGTCCCCCCTGCAGAGCCCTGTCTCTCCCTTCCCCTCCTCCCTCACCAGGGACATTCCTCTCCCTTTCCCCCCTCCAGGAGAATACACCGATGAGGAGGGCCAGGTCATCATCGATGAGAAGGAGTTTTCCCTCATCCTGAAGCTGAAGGAGCTGAAGGAAGAGCACAGGGCTGGTTATGCTGAGCTGCAGGACCTCAAGGCAGAGATCCAGCACTGCCAACAGCTGGTGGATAAGTGCCGGAAAAGGCTCATCTCAGGTGTGGATCCACAGGGCCCAGCAGCCTCTGGATGAATCCAGGCTGGAGCATTCACAAGCATCACGGAATCCCAGAATGGGTTGGGTTGGAAGGGACCTTAAGGATCATCCCATTCCACCCCCTGCCATGGGCAGGGACACCTTCCACTAGCCCAGGTTGCTTCAACCTGGCCTTGAACACTTCCAGGGCTGGGGCAGCCACAGCTTCTCTGGGAAATCCATTCCAGTCCCTCCCCACCCTCCCAGCCAGGAATTCCTTCCCAATATCCCATCTAATCCTGCCCTCTGGCAGTGGGAAGCCATTCCCCCTTGTCCTGGCACTCCAGGCAGTTCCCATCCTCTGTTGTTCTTTTCCCTGTTCCCTTCCAGACCAGATTTTTTTGCTTATTAAGTGACTTTTCTTTTTGACCTGACACTGAATTCCTGCAGATTCTCTCTCCCAAATAACGACACTGCTCCTTGGTCACACCAGTAGGTGCAACACTGGGAAAAACCTTTCCACAAGGAATTTAACAACAGTGCTCCCACTGCTGCTCCTGGACCTCATCCTGGGTTTTGTGTAACCGAGGTGGTGGTTGAGGAGTTGCCCTGGGACAGGGCTGTGGCTCCAGACTCCAGGTGAATCCTCTTCCCCCTGGGAGTTCCAGGTCCCAGAGTTGCAGCCTTGGCAGGAAGCAGAGCTTGGTCACTCCTCTGCCCGGGGTGATCCCTGCAAATTCCTGCTGTGTTCCAGGTTTGAACCTGTGCACTCAAACTCCCCCTGCTGTATCCCTGGATTTGTCCCCTCCGTGTACGAATGCCAGAGTCCCAAACATTTGGATGTTGTGCACATGGCAACACTTGATTTCCACAAACATGCCAGGGTACAGCCTGGATCTGTCAGAACAGATTCCGTGGAGGAAATGCCAGGGATTGTTCCAGGGATAGACAGGGCCAAATCCTAACTTAGCCACTGGTTCCCGTTGGATCCGGGTTTGGCACTTTTGGGTGTTCCAGATGTTTGTTTGAATATCCAAGACTCTCCCTATCAGGAGTGCAGTGCCTGGGAAATGCCCAGGATTAATAAGGACAGAATTCCCACCTGCTGTCTGCTGTCACGAGCTATTATGGGATGGCAGGCGTGGGATTGAAACCCGAGCCCCAGACGTGCTGACCATTCCAAAGGAATGATCCCGATCCATGGGCTGCAGGAACGGTGCCATCTCGTGGCCAGGGAATGTCCCCAGGAGCAGCAACCACCTCCAGCACAGCCACCAGCCCCCTTAAATCAACTTTTCCAAGAGTTTAAACTCAAGATCTTGGAATTCTGAGTTCCCCTCTGAGGGTTTAAGAGCACCGAGATCCCGCCCGATCCATAGGCAGGGAGAACCACCCCACTGTTGTCCCTTGGGTCATTCCAGGCTGTTAATGCCCCCTCTTTGCTTTGCAGAGTTTGAGATCTGGTACAACGAGTCCTTCCGTATCCCTGAGGATGTGCTGGAAGCTCTGAGGCCCGGTGGGAGCATCAGGCCTGGAATGATTCCCATGAACAGGGTCATGTGCCTGGTGAGTTGTCTCTGCTTATCCTCCTTGGTGGGGATGAGGGAATGAGGGAGGAGGAGGAGGAAGAGGAGGAGGGGGACCTGGTGCTCTGTGAGCAGAGAGGGACTGTCTGGAGCCACATCCATTTAGAGCCTAAAACAGGACAGTGACTGAGGGACCTGGGAATGTGTGGAATATCAGGCATCAGGCATAGTGCCCGGAGGTGGAGGGTGCTTGGGAGCCTGGTTTCCAGCCTGGTTTCCAGCCTGGTTTCCAGCCTGGTTTCCAGCCTGAGGGATCCACAGTTTGCAGCCAAACTATTGTGTTTCCTTTTGTGGCAACTGAGACTTGGCGAGTTCTCTGCCAGGAACCACCACTTTGGGTGCCGGGGGCTTTCCTGCTCCTGAAAAGGCACATTCCTGGAAAATTCTCATTTCCCAGAATTCCTGCATCTCCCCAGCATGGGCAGCAGGGGAGGGGGGGATTCTGCCCCTCTGCCCCCTCAGCTGAGACCCCCCTGCAGAGCTGC